TAAAAGAGAAGCAATTAAGATTAATGGGTAAAGTTTTGTCTCATCACTTACAAATGAAGTAAATATGCAGGTTTTAAGATCGACAACAAAGCCCCGGATGTGCAAAGCTATAATGTCAAGTAATCCGATTTCATATGTTTCTTTATTTGCAATTTAAAACTTTAAATATTTGTTTTTAAACAACGTATCGCTTGAATAAAATATGGGGCCATTTATCCGAAAATATGCAATGTAAATATTTTCTCTAAAATTAGTGAATTATTAATTTGGAGATAAAGGAGTTCTGTATCGGTCGTCTGACATCTGTCGAGGGGTCCATTGTCGTCTGCTCAGTGACCCGTGACACCGGCACGCGTTTTTATTCTGGGAGGGGTGTAAAAAACACCGTATCGACAGCTGTCCGACTTTTTGAGCGGGATTTGAGAATTCTACGAGCCCTTATGAAATTAAACAAAAGTTTATGAACTTTAAAACACGGTGTCGTGTGACTGCGGCAGTTGTGTTGCTTAGACAGACTAAACGTATTTACATGTATATAGTTAAATTCAAATCCAAAACTCGAAGACGAAAGAATTAGAGAAATCATTACACGTATATTATTAAGGATGTTTAATTAAAGAAAACGAATTTTTTTTTACAATTTCATTTAAAATAGTTGAAAGAATGAAAATATCTTAATTAAAAATAATTGAAATCTATTTGATTGATTTATGCTAAATTCTGATCATTTGTGAGTGATTATTAAGTTAAAATGTACCTAGTCGACAAGTACATGTATGATACACTTTGTGTGTGCTTTCTTTTAGGTCATGCTTACAGGTCTCTCATCAAACCGGAATGGATGAAGATTTTAGTTTTGATATATATAAAATTCATATTTGTTTAAAATTATACTTAAAAATCAATATTTTCTAACCCACAAAGTATGTTAAATTTAATTAAATTTAATTTAATGCAATTTAAGATATTTTGATTTTATTCATTTACACCTAAGCGAGCAAAGATTATTTATTGACGCACATTCAGAGCTACTTTCATATCTAACAGACCAAAATTATCGGCTTTTAGTTTTATTTATAAAGCGATTAAATAATTTGCCAGCTAAAAGGTAAAACAATATTATGTTTATATCGTGTTACACAGATCATGGTGAAACTTGCTTCCGTGAGTTAATGCTGAGCGACTGGTCGTGCCTAAAGTCAATGAATTTTAGGTCCGATGATGTAGAAGCAAACGGCCAAGAAAGCGATGTGTATATACTTTGTATATTTTGTCTGTTTAAGCCTGTTAGAGTTGGCCCACAAACTTATCTTAAATTAAGATCCATACAACATAAACAAGAAACTGTGTTATGTTCTGATGTTAGGCTTCAATCTGAATGAAAATTTTTCTTGAGTAAAGCTATAGCCGATCTCACACGATACTGTCAAAGTGATGTACAAGTTACTCATGAATGGCCTCTCTGAAAAGTAAGATCTCCCTTCTTGGCACCTCGTAAATGATGAACATTCCTCAATTTTTCTCTCTACAAGATGCGAATTCTTGAGCAGACGGTAATCGATCGAGGACCCACTTGCTTTTCCAGAGGCCGAGCATTAAAGACAATATTTACAGGCATCCCTAACAAAAGATGCTTAAAAATTAACCATCTGTAGCTCCCTCGTAAGGATGAAAGTTACCAACCGGTAGGGGGCGTTATTGTTCTATTGTCTTAGTAACTACACATTTAACATCTCAATTTATTTTAGATTTTGTTCATTTTATTGTCAGTAATTGGGTTCTTTTTAGTATGTTGAGCATATAGTGATCAATTTTCATACTAAAGTTAGAGATACAATTGAAAGTTAATAAAAGTACACAATAATTACTGAAGATGTTAATTTCACATATGCTCGAGATAACATTTTTTAAAAGCATCAAACCACTTCAAATAAAAAAAACAGCATGAATATTGTTCTAATCAGCAAAACAACAAACAGGAATTCAGACAGAACAAATGTTTGAGATGCACTAGATATTGCTAATACGAAACTAAGATTTATCGGATGTATAAGCCTGATTAAGGCGAAAGCTATTTTCATATTGGGTATTCCTTGTCGTTGGAGAAAAAACAAACAAGACACGACAACAGTGTATTTTATGCGTGAGGCGTCCTCGTTAAAGAATGATTCAAAAAGAACCAGAAGTTGATTAGATGTGAATCTTTTTTCTGTTGGGTTAAGAATCCCCATCTGTTTGGGGAATAATTTAATTCACCCGGAGCGGGGACCCATGGAATATTTCTGGACCAGATTATAAAAAGAAATCAGCTTTATTTAGGAGACACCATCTGTTTGACAGAGCAGGGAATGTAAAATACTTCTGTTTTACGCAAACTTCCCCGGTTTAATTAATTATTAATGATAACTTTGTCCCAAATTGTATGGTCTGAAACCAAATCTTGGAGTAAATTATTTGTGTTATGGGAAACAAAGATAAAATACCCTTAGTCAATGGCTAAATGACAAAAAATAAAGTAATTGCATGATAGTAAATTATTTTGTTTCTTTTCATAATCTAGATTATTTGTGTTTAAAGCAATTTCATGCTTTCCAAATGATATCCTTTTTCTCCTCTGATCTCCGAGCAAGATAATTATAAGTTGAACAAAGCACAAAAACAATGCATCAATGTACATAATACATACATCTCATAAAAATTATTTCAGAGCAATAATTTGTGCCTGTTTTTGTTTCTTCTATTCATAATATTGATTTAAGTGCAATGTAAAGAAATATGTTTAATGTTAATAATGATAATGAATAAATTGAAGGTTACCGATGACACCTGAAAACAACACAGAAATTAGCTTTATGCTGAGTATTATCCAAGGTATTATAGACAAAGCCGAGCCTCTCTGTAATCTTATACAATGTACACAGCCATCTACAGCTCAAACTTCGTGCTTTGCGGATCAAAATGTCTAACAAATGTCAAAGGAGTGAGGAGAGTATTTGGTGTGCCAGAGATCGAAATGTATTCACCAAGCAGTCCATAAAAGCGGCAATTAGGAACTGATTATTTATTAAAGGAAATTCACCACCATAATGGTTCTAACGACATAAAAATCGACCATAAGTTCTATATTCAGTAACATTTATCAGATTCATTCATGTTACCTTCGAACAACGTTTCCCAAAGGCAGTAAAAGCCTGACAATGACGTCATTTCCTGTCAAAGACATCTCCCAGAACCAGAATTCAGTCCTTCTGATTTTGAACGCGCACTGCCTGGCAGTTTCCATAGACCGCGGAGACAGAGAAGTATCGATCGTCAGAAAAATACAGAGGGCTGATTCCATCTTCCCTTGTAGAAAATTAATAAATGTGCGCACAGCCTGGACCATTCCATTACTGACTCTGTGAGTCAGTGAGATTACTTGGGTCGATACTTTTGTGCTGTGCTTGACATCACGGCCTGATATTAATATATCGTAAGGATGGACATCTGAAACTCAAACATGTCAGGTAAATGCTCGAGGAAATTCGGAACACAATGTGGTCGAAGGCATTGCCTTTTCACATTGTTTTGATTTCTTTCGTTGTAAATCGATTTCACTTAAACTTCAGTCTGTGTTCTTCCCGGATTTACTTTTCCGTTCACACTTCATTTTAAATGTTAAATTAAAGTTTTGACTGTACTATATTTTATATATAGTAAATTGCTTTGAGGATTTACGGAAAGTCGATCGAATTAAAATATACCTTTTCATAATAAATTTTGACTTTGTTCAAATTCCATGGACCATTCTCTTCAATTCAGACTGGATTTGTATTTGTACTTATTTCAACGGTAGTACATAGGAGGAGTTTCCATGGGTTACCTAATTATTTTTAGCATTGAAGTTTGTAGGAAAATTTAAATTGTAAAGTGATGGTCAGAGTTTTTAAACGCTTGATTGTTCAACAAAACAGAATAAGGCTGTCGTCACCACTAACCTTTATGATCGATTTTTCACCTGTACGTATACAAGGCACGGATTTATACAGGTGTGTCATCGATCCTGGACGCCATCTTGGATTTTGTTTGTGATGCTGACTTTTTTTCTCCAATTTAAAGAGCTAGAAAGAACTCAATCGGATTGTATTGGGAGTTATCGATTCGGTCTTATGATGGAATGGTCCTAATGATTTTGGTCTCAAAGCTTTCAGATGTTTCTTCTTCTCTTAAGACTCTGACTGGTGTAGGAATCATTAGAAATACACGCACGTTCTCGTAGCTGAAATTGAACTTAAGAGTTAGTCTCCAGTAATCACTAGGAAGCTTCTTAATGAAAAATTCCGATCTTATCTCCACTATTTTTTGCTATAATTAGAAATAGTGGCGAGAGTGAATCTTGCTTCAGCATATACAATTAACATTTTACAATGGTGTCGGAAATTACGTGATTCTGAAGTTACAGATAATTCATAAAGAAGTCTTAGAAAATGAATCCTCTGGTATTACTAACTTGTCTTTAATGAGTTTTCATTAAGATATACCCCTGTCTTCCTCTGTACTTAGGATTCTAACTTTTAATTTTGCTCCTCGCTATCTCTGTACTTTGTAAGCTCACTCAGTGGGTTTTAATTACCATCAATTACAACCAGCTTCTATGCAATCTTACCAGAAATGTTAAAGTAAACTATTTTAGTTTTTTTTTTCAACATTTCTGTCTTCTTCTCTAAGACAAGCAATGTTCTAAAGTTGATGTGCCAAAAGGCATGAATCACCCAGACACGTGTCAAGCAGAAGGATTTTGTTGAGAGTTTAAACTCAAATACCGTCGTCATTTGTTAAAAGTTTTGAGTTGCAGCCAAAGAGATAAACTAAACAATAACAATGCAAGCACAGCTTTTTACAAAAACGATCTCTCAAACACACAGTGAAAGCAGCGGTCAATGTAGTGCGCTGTTTAAAGTTTTTTTTTAAAAGTGATGAAAATATTATAATTGAAGAAGTTGTACATTTAATCATTTCAGAAGACAGAAAACTTTTTGTGGGCATGCTCAACAAGCAACAATCAGAAGATGACGTCAGACAATTGTTCCAGCCATTCGGAAATATAGAGGAATGTACAATACTACGGGACCAAAATGGAAACAGCAAAGGTTCGAATCATAGCGAGAATATTTCTGTTCGTATGTTTAACAATGGTAAACAAAAGTAGCTGCCATTAACAAAATCTAGCATTCAAATTTTACATGTATACATTCTGTCGTACTTTGTAGGTTGTGCTTTTGTTAAATACTCCGGTCACAACGAGGCCCAGTCGGCCATCAACGCTTTACATGGAAGTCAAACAATGCCGGTATATGTCTTACATTTAATCATCTTGCATAAAAAATTATAAATATTTTTAATAAGGAATTGATAGTAACATTCTGATCATGACTTTATGGCAACATTCTGAACATGACTTTATGGCAAATTATGGCAACATTCTGAACATGACTTTATGGCAACATTCTGAACATGACTTTATCGCAACATTCTGATCATGACTTTATTGCAACATTCTGATCATGACTTTATGGCAACATCCTGAACATGACTTTATGGCAACATTCTGAACATGACTATATGACAACATTCTGAACATGACAATATGACAACATTCTAAGCATGACTTTATGGCAACATTCTAAACATGACAATATGGCAACATTCTGAAAATGACTTTATGGCAACATTGTGAACATGGATTGGCAACAATCTGAACATGATTTTACTGAATGGCGACATTCTGAAAATGTCTTCGCAAATAATTTTTCTTGACGTGTTTATGTTTCAGGGCGCGTCTTCTAGTCTTGTTGTGAAGTTTGCGGACACGGAGAAAGAACGACAACTCCGTAGAATGCAGCAGATGGCTGGTCCACTGGGGCTGCTTAATCCCTTTGCCATTTCTCAAATCGGTGCATATGGAGCTTATGCCCAGGTTTGTACACAGAAAACATTTTTTGGTTCTTTTTAAGAAAGAAAAGTTTCAGGTTTTACAAGCAAAAAGTACTGGTTATCAGCTAGGACATATTTATTCTATAGCAACAAGCCGCTTTGATGGCTGCTGCTGCGACCCAGGGAACTTACCTGACAAGTCCTGTCACTACATTGGCTCACATTCCACAGGTCGGCGCCTTAGCCACGCCCAACGGCATCACAACAGGCGCACTAACACCTACCACAGCCACATTAGCCAACGGTAAAAACCACGTGACTCATTGCTAATAAAATGGTACATAGTTGAAACAGTCAGAAGACTTGTTAGTTTCGATGTCAAGTAAATCTAACTCAGAAGTGTCTGCGAACACAAAAACTTTTTTATCATTATCCTGTACCTCTTGATCACTAAAAATTATCCTTTATTATTAATTTTATTATTATTGAATGTTGTTTATATCTATTCAATATTGTAATAAATTTAATGCATAGGTACCACAGGTATAAACGGAGCGCCCCCTAGCGTGTTGTCCCCGACTGCTTTGGCAGGCTTTCAGATTCCACAGCATAATGGCCAGACACCGGAAATCTATGCCGCTAATGGTATCCCTCACTATCCTGGGGAATGCCAAGTTGTGGAACTAGGTATAACTTTCATAAATGAAATCTATAAAATCTCATCGAAGTTAGATAAATCTGAAAAAAAAATTGAAATAATTAAAGCACTCATCGACATTCTTAATATTTCATAGCATTTTCTTTCAGCACAAGCTGTCACAAACGGAGATCCATTACAAGCATACGCAAGCATGCAACCATATGCTGGGATAGGTAAGTTTTTAATTTCCAAATTTATTTATCATGCTTGTATTTTAGATATAAAGCACCGTGCTTCAAATTGCACGCTAATTAGAAATTGATTGTTTTTCTTTTGTTTTCTTTGCTTAGCCTACCCAGCATACGGGGTACAGCAAGCGTTGTCTCAGCATACTACGATCTTACCAGCTCAGAAAGAAGGTACAGTGCACTTTAACATTACTGAATGAATTATATGTGTGCAGTAACACGATTAATAACAACTTTGAAATCATTAAAGGACTAACATTTTGTTTTTTTTCCTATATTAACATTTAACAACGTCCAGTGGTTCTTATTTGGTCATATGAAATGCTAAGATGGCGACATTCAAAACTCTTCTTTTAATGAAGTTAGGAAAATTCTTCTGCGCGCGAAGTTTAAAAAGTTTTTGTTTTTTTTTTTTAAAATAAGCGGGAACCATTGGATATAATGTTAGTGTGTTATTTGCTGTTGTTGACTTGTGGTGAACAGAATGATGATCTGGAGGTGTATCTACAGTTGTATTTACAGGCCCAGAGGGCTGCAATCTCTTCATCTATCATCTACCACAAGAGTTCGGAGACGCCGAGCTTGCGCAGATGTTCATGCCGTTCGGAACAGTTATTAGTGCTAAGGTGTACGTGGATAGGGCAACCAATCAGAGCAAGTGCTTTGGTGAGTTGGTTTATTAAATGAGTTTCAAGAAAATACAAAAATATCAACATAATTTTTTCAAGTTGATTAATTGTTTGCGATATGCGAAAGTTGTAATAGTTTAACAGTTTCTGTTACCTAAATTAGAGGCATAAATTATACATGATTATTCACAGCCATTCGAACAAACTTTTATTGCAGGATTTGTCAGTTTTGACAACCCTACAAGCGCCCAGGCGGCTATCCAAGCTATGAATGGCTTCCAGATTGGGATGAAGCGTCTCAAAGTTCAGCTAAAGCGCCCGAAAGACCAGAATCGGCCATACTAAAGCCACCAGTGCTCCACTCATATAGGTAAGCAGACAGTAAAACAGATACATGCTTGTTCTGTGTTACAATTAGAAAAAAATATATTAAGATTAATTCCTGTCCAGATTCTTGTGTGTCTTGGGGACAAACTTTATTTTTTACTATGCAAATTATGTATGATATTTTGAAACAATTACTCCTCATCCTTCATATTTATATTTCAGTGCTTCTATTTGCCTCTTTGAAAATCATTTTCTTAAACATAAAACAAGACAAGTTTCCTATGTATCACGAAATTCCATACATTGTATAACGAACACGAAAGTTTTTTTTTCGAACATAAATTGACAAAATTCTCAAGTCAACTTTGTATTCAAGATATTTGAACCATTTCTAAAACAAGATTGTCGGCTGTGCTATCAACTTGAACTTTTTGTACTGTAGCTCAGGGACAACAACTCCTGCTTGTCTCAAACAAAGAGAGATAACTCTGATTCGTAAGTGTGGGTGGCCGGTGTAGTCCATTGTACCGTGTGTAGATTTTACTGGTGTAGTAACCCGGTGAAGTAATTGTGTGGCTTCAGGTTTTCTCTACTTCGTTTTTGAGATATTGTTCGTGACGTCATAATATTATATCAATTGTCACACGTCTTTCATTTTTCACGATTTTTATTGACAATTATGGTTTTTATTTGTGTTTTACTGCTTACATAGCTATGTAATTATTGTATGTTGTGTTGAAAGTACACATTTTTCTTGCATCTAACTTTGGAGTCTTGATACGGGGCTTTCGTTGCTATGGTTATAAATGCGACCCAGCTGCACCAGGTATAAGGTTTACCAGAAGAATACTAAACTTTGTTTCAATTTCTTCTAATCTAAAAATATAGTAAACTGAATAAACCACTTTCCCCGACATCTCCTTTACTAATTGAACAGGATTGTCTACTTAATAGCTGAAAGAAAATCAAGCATGCTTATTTCCTACTAATGATTAATACGTGGATTTCAAAACCCTCTCGAATGAGCATCTCTTACTAGCTGGGGAGCACAAACGGTGAAATGAAAAAAAAATCCTTTGGTGACACATTCAGAACAAAGGCGGCTTGTACTAGGAGACTAAGCTACCGGTATTCTTAAAGAAATATGCACATTTTATTTCTTTCGTACAACATATTTTACATGTATCTCCATATTTTGATATCAATTTTCTGAATACATGTTTCAGGAAACATGTTTTCAGCTATATATCAAACATATCTCAAATCTCTGCCATTTAGAAAAGATTCAATTAGTACTTGTAAAATATAAAGTATGATATCAAAGTGACCCAGAATTACAAGTTTCGTACATTTCATAGATCAATGAGGGTTTGGAAAATAGTCTGCATTTGAGTTTTGGTTATTTTTTTGACGTGTTTTCAGTTCCTTTTGAATGTTTGGATCCAATTTGAGGTGTGTTTGATGGTTGTTGTAAAAACACGATCTCATATAAATGTTATATACATATAATTATAGCTATGGAATGTGAGACACTTCAATTGTAATAATTCTATAAAACACTCTTACAAAGCAGAACTAATACCGCACAATCTACCCCTTTCGTCTAAACAGGGAGGGGCAGTTTATACATGTTAGATAGACATAATATATTTACAGCCGAAGAACCGATCGGAATTTCAGACACCGAGCCTAATCTATAACATGTATTTGTAGTAATATTGTGAAAAAAAGGGGATGCTACATTCTTCTTGATTTTAAATTTTAAAAAAATGAATAAATACATTCAACAGCCAGTCATAATTCATTGCCAAATCGAAACTGGATACTTTTGGGGAGACCTTCTATCCCTCTCGTTTTTAAAAGATCAAATCTCAACACAGCAGCCGAAGTTTAGTACTTCAGTCATTTACACCTCTGTGTGGACTACTTTACATACACGAGTAAATTAGGTTATACCTAACGCAGATCAAACTTTAACGCCATCTACCATAAGCTGTTAGGTTAATTTGACGTACAATCACAATTTCAGCAATTCGCATTGAAGGCGTTGTATTACCGGTAGGATAGCTGAGATAAATTGTATGCATTAGTTAAGAATAGATGATAAACTTTGCTTTAAATTTGACTGATGTTCCTGTCATCCCAGAATCAGTGTTCAATAAATAAATCATATGAGTACTAGTAATTCATGATGTACGGGTTTTGATGTGGGGGTAAATGCATCCACAAACTAAGGGCCGTTAGATGTATATTAAAAAAAAACAAAATTGCTGTTTAACTTCCTAATTTTTCTTCCTTTTTTCAGAAGCTAGGAACACAGAGTTTGAAATACCAACAGAGACCAAGGGACGTAACTCTGACGAAACAGGGTATCAAAGGGAGACCACCCTTACATACATGTCTGTAAATAAATTTCACAACAAAATTTTTATTTTCTTAAAGAGAACGTTTTCCCACCGATTTTGTAAATAAATAGATGTTGTTTGGAAGGACTTAAAAACTGGCGAGAGGTTATTCACACGGTATACAGAGGACTTCAAACGATATTTCCCCACCTTGCTTACTTATGATATTTTATTATAAATATTAGTTTAGTTACATTGAAATGTTTATGATATATATTACATGTTATATATTTATTATATTTAAAACAATGTATTATATTTGCCCCCATATAAAACAGCCAGCAAGTTTTGGTGGATTTTATTTCGCTGGTAAACATTCCATTTTTTAAGAACAAATGACTCCACGAGATGCCATTGATGTAATTTCGACAGCATTTAAATGACATTTTATGTGTTAAAGGTGTAATTTTTACAACAGAATATTTTCAAATCAAATTTTTGTATATTATCATATATTATATACGTATCACTTCATATTTACTGGAGGCGGCCGCTCATTGGATGTTGTGTTTGGTTGCCATGGACACCCTAGTTGTTGTCGGGTTATTATTGTATTCACGGTAGTGATGTGATAGAATAAACAGTTAATTCTTAAATTTTTGTGTAATCCTAGTGACAAATTAAATGTTGTTTTTATTTTTAAGATCAGTGTGAATTGTATTTAAGTAAGTACCATTTTTTTCTTTTTAGTGAATTCTTGGTTGTTTTATATGGAGGAGATATGGGCATTGTTTACTTGTATATAACTTTGAACAAAATGCATTCCTGGTCATTATTTACATCCAATATCCTGTCATTGTATCATGTTGTGCCCTGGTCAGCCTCGTTTTCACACCGGGCAGGGATCAAAGTTCACATTGTTGTTCATCGTCTAATGAAATACCTTGTTACTTAATCTAAGACTGGATCGGCTTGGATGTTATTTTTAGATTTGTTGACTGGCACCTGTTTTTATCAATGAACAGATAGTTTGTTACTTATTACTGATACAAAAGTCGTATTTATTTATTTATTTATATTTATTTGTTTAAATATCATCAGACATTTTGTAAATAGCTAGTTTAGATTCATCAGGAATCTCACTAAATTCCCTCGATATAATTTATCTATATATATGTGTTCCCTTTGCGTAACATGACATATACATTTTTTTTTTGTTTTTTGTTGATTATTTATGGCTGTACAGTATCGAAGAACAGCCTGTAGATAGATTTTAACAGGCAGATTACAGCAATTGGTTGTATATTTAGTTGGGTTGTATATTGTCTCAAACGATCACAGATGGTGAATTTTGATGTTTTTTTAATGATATGAAAAATCCAAGAAAGTGCAATATCTTGATGTATTATAGATGAAATCTCTAGTCAGTCATTGTTTTTCACCTGAGACTAGTGTTTGGTTTATTTTTGTTTGGTCTTGTCTGTATAAGACATGTGATGGAGTACTTAATGTTAGTCGTTTTCTCATCAAATCTCGGGTGATCAATGCAGTTTTGAAAATTTTTATTATTGGTGCAATCGTGTTAATATGGGGGAAATAGCATTTTACTCGTGAAACTAATGCATAATTGTGACACTTTTGTCTCTTTTATTTTGCAAATATAATTGGAGGACCTATAAATCTCAGTGAAAGTGACGGTAGAGACATCCCTCGTGTGCAGAGCAAGTAGCTCCGGGCCTTTGAGGTCTAGTTGACCAGGGATGTCTCGCCTCCTTCACCATTGTACACTCTTTTGTTTCATTAGAACAGACTTTTACACTTTCTTTCTCTCCTGTAGATTTTTTTTTCTCTCTACGTTATGTATACGTCTTTTTGAATTACTGTTTGATATTTACCGGAAGAGAAATATCTTTTTTTTTATGAAGGAAGTATTCCTTTATTTATTAGTTAATTTGACTATTTTGTAGCTAACTGAGCAGTCAGAATAATCATGACCTAGCATGGTTCATTAGTCACCTAGTTAGACATCATACTTAGCTAAACATGTAAAAAGAAGCGATACAATAAAATATTGAATCACATTACACATGGTTTTGTTTTGACTCGCTTGTCTCCAGAATCGAATAAATAAAATTACGGTTGGATTGCACTCAAAGATTTCTGTGCACAAGTTGGTATTAGACCGATTTATTTCAAAATTAGATTCATTTCTTTTATGTCTTCTTAATATTTCTTGTGAAATTTACCATAGACCGGCCAGAAAAATGGATACAAGATGTGTTTGTGAAACACTGATGCCCCCATATGGCAACTTAAAGCAAAGGTTAAATTTTCTCAAATGCAAATCAAATATGTTGCTACCCAAAGTAAGGTCTCGTCTCAAGAAATATACCTGTGAAATATGAAAGCCCTAGCAGCAGCCATTGAATAGATATGGAAAAGGTTAAAGTTTTTCAAAAGTAATCAAACATGAAGGTCAAAGCCAAAATTAATGGTGCCCAAGGAAAGGCCTTCTAACAGGAAATAAACATGTGAAATATGAAAGTCGTAGCACAAATCGTTCAAAAGTTATGGCCAAGATTAAAGTTTTTCAGAAATAGGTCAAACTCCAAGGTCAAAGGGTCAAAGTGGCAGGCCCGTAGGAAGCAATTTAAGTTTTGGGGGCACAGCTATACATTTTTTTAGTTGAGGGGGCACTATCAACTACCAAAAATTCTTTGACAAGCAAAAAAAAAAGGTCATCAGATGGAAAGAAAATTCCTTATGGCATATCTACAGGACCAAACTAAACATGTTCTAAAAGTAGACCTCGCTGCTGCAGAAATTGTAAGAGGAATTCTGGGAACATGATTTTTAAAGAATGGCATATTACATGTATGTTGTTTGAGGCCCTCAATTCGTCTCCTCTAGGATGAAAATGAAAACTCCGAGCCCTTACTGCACACCAAACAAATCAAATCATATTTCAAAAGACGAGTTGGCTAACGCTTAAATTGTGAAAGTATTTCACGGAACTAGGTTTTTGTAGAAATACATTTTTCGACCTCAAATTAAAGGTGAAAAATAAAATTCCCAAAATCTTATTGCATATCTATACAGTACACCAAACTGATGGACGGACCAGGATAACAATAATATTTATGGCATAGCTTTGTGCTTGCAAAACGCTAAATTTTACATCCGCTAAAGAAACCTGCTTTACGATCGATAACAAAATACCTGACCTTTCTGTAGAAAGTGGGGGTCTAAGAAATGTTAGCCCCAGTCTGCACAATAGCTTCAGAAGTTATCAAAATGACTTCAGGTTAAGTATACATTGATTGGTCCAATAATTAATCAATTTGCACTTCATTCAGAAAGAACCGTACACGAACAAGTGGTATACCAGAGGCAGTTGAGTGGAAATCTATGGTCAGTAGAGTACAACCATGCAGCAAATAATAAAATAACAAATCAAGATAAAAGGATGTAGAATCTAAACATTATAGATGAAGTCCAGATTTTTTATTTCTTATTCATGCATTTAGTGTAATTTGAGTACAGTAAAACTAGTTATTTGGTACCTATGTGTGAACAAACATGTTAGATCATGACCCAAGTCCTATTGCACCAATTATAATGTAAATTTTAAGAGTTAAATTTTCTTATTACAGTGTTTAAAGACATACCTATACGTGACTGAGTAAAAATTGTGACGGAAAATGTCGACTGCGGTTCAGTGGCTTTGTTCTTGGAAAAACGTGATGCGTGCCGTTTTCTATGGTTTATTTCTTGGTTGAATAAACAGGTATATTTGTTTGACAAATTACATGTTCAAGAATGTTCCATTTAATTATTAAGAATCGTTGGTTGTGTTTTTATTCGTATCTATTCAACCATTATTGTAATTTGTGGTGATAACAGTTATCGACAGACCTAAAACACTACAACTTTTAATGCCCCCGTATCGAAGATTCGTGGGTATATAGTTTTTGCCCTGTCCGTCCGTCCGTCTGCCTGTCTGTTTGTCCGCAAAAACTTTAACCTTGCCCATAACTTTTGATTGGTTGGAGCTATGGCTTATGTATTCCTTGTGACAAGACCTTGGTTTGGGTACCACCATATTTGACTTTTTGACCTTGACCTTTGAGTTTAACCTAGTTTTGCCAAACTTTACCAAACTTTAACCTTGGCCATAACTTTTGAACAATTAGTACTAGGGCTTTCATACTTCACATATGTAATCCGTGTGACAAGACCTTTCTTTGGATACCAACAACTTTGACCTTTTGACCTTGGAGTTTGACCTACTTTTGAAAAACTTTAATCTTGGCCATAACTTTTGAACGGTTGATGCTAGGGCTTTCATAATTCATATATGTAATCCTTGGGTCAAGACCTTTCTTGGGATACCAACAACTTTGACCTTTTGACCGTGGAGTTTGACCTACTTTTGGAAAACTTTAACCTTGGTCATAACTTTTGAACGCTTGGTGCTTCGGCTTTCGTATTTCACCTGTATATTTCTTGAGAGAAGGCCTTTCCTTGGGCACCATTAATTTTGATCATTTGACCTTGACCTTGATGTTTGACATACTTTTGAAAAAACGTTAACCTTTTAAGCTCACCTCGACGAAGTCGAGATGAGCTTATGCTATACCTCCGGCGTTGGCGTCGGCGTCCCGGTTAAAGTTTTATGGAGCAAGTCCATTCTCAAGTAACTATAAGCCCTACCTGGACCAAACTTGCATGGATGATGCATCTAGGGATAGACACTACCACACTTGCTTGGATGCTGGATCTGACCTAGATTTTTCAGATGAGTGACCAGGTTAAGGTTTATGGAGCAGGTCCATTCCCAAGGAACTATAAGCCCAAGCTGGACCAAACTTGCATGGATGATGCATCTAGGGATGGACACTACCACACTTGCTTCGGATGCTGGATCTGACCTAGATTTTTCAGATGAGTGACCAGCTTAAAGTTTTTGGAGCAGGTCCATTGCTAAGGAACTATAAGCCTTAGCTGGACCAAATTCGCTTGGATGATGCATCTAGGGATGGACACTACCATACTTGCTTCGGATGCTGGATCTGATCTAGATTTTTCAGATGAGTGACCAGGTTAAAGTTTTTGGAGCAGGTCCATTGCCAAGGAACTATAAGCCCTAACTGAACCAAACTTGCATGGATGATGCATCTAGGGATGGACACTACCACACTTGCTTCGGATGCTGGATCTGATCTAGATTTTCCAAATGAGTGACCAGGTTAAAGTTTTTGGAGCAGGTCCATTCCCAAGTAACTGGATCAAACATGCATGGATGATGCATCTAGGGATGGACACTACCACAATTGCTTCGGATGCTGGATTTGACCTAGATTTTCCAGATGAGTGACCAGGTTAAAGTTTTTGGAGCAGGTCCATTGCTAAGGAACTATAAGCCCTAACTGGACCAAATTTGCATGGATGATGCATCTAGGGATGGACACTACCATACTTGCTTCGGATGCTGGATCTGATCTAGATTTTTCAGATGAGGGACCAGGTTAAAGTTTGGAGCAGGTCCATTGCCAAGGAACTGTAAGCCCTAACTGAACCAAACTTGCATGGATGATGCATCTAGGGATGGACACTACCACACTTGCTTCGGATGCTGGATCTGATTTAGATTTTCCAAATGAGTGACCAGGTTAAAGTTTTTGGAGCAGGTCCATTCCCAAGTAACTGGACCAAAGATGCATGGATGATGCATCTAGGGATGGACACTACCACACTTGCTTCAGATGCTGGATCTGACCTAGATTTTCTAGATGAGTGACCAGGTTAAAAAGCTTTTTGAGCAGGTCCATTCCCAAGTAACTATAAGCCCTAGCTGGACCAAACTTGCATGAACGATGCATCTAGGGATGGACATTACCACACTTGATACCAGACTTGCTTTGGATTCTGAATCTGATATTGATGGATATTGATCTTGGGATCACACTAACTAGGAAAAAATATGATGTTAGATTTGCCTTACTTATAGATAACATTCGTCGAGGTGAGCTTAGTAATCTTTGATTACCTATGTGTCCATATCTGTTCAATGGTTGCTGCTAGGACTTTCATATTTCACAGGTATATTTCTCTAGACAAGACCTTACCTTGGGTACCAACATATTTTATTTGCATTTCAGAAAGTTTAACCTTTGCTATAAGTTGCCATACGGGGGCATCAGTGTTTCACAAACACATCTTGTTAATTATAATTTACTATATATAGTTTTCGTAGAGAATTAGGAAATCAGTATAGTAATACAATACCCAGTCATATGAGAGAGAGAGAGAGAGAGAGAGAGAGAGAGAGAGAAGTGGAGCGTGGGGAGAAGGTGGGAGGGAGGGAAGAAGGAGAGAGAGAGATAGGGGTGGGAAGAAGGATTGGAGAGGAGCGGGAGAGAGAGGAGTCGTGGGGGAAGCGGGAGTGGTGGAGAAAGTGAGGCAGAGAGGTTGGGTGTGAGGTTGAATGTGGGGAGAGAGGGGGATTGGGGGAAAGAGTGAGTCGGGGGGAGAAAGTGGGGGAGAGAGGTGGGAGTGAGGTAGAAGGTATGAAGAGGGAATGGGGGAGAAGTTGGGAAGAAGGGATGGGTAAGCGGGGAGAAAGTGCTCAGGATAGAGATGTGGAAGAGAGTAGAGGGGAGTGAAACGATAGGGGTGATAGAGTGTGTCACTGTTACTTACCTAATGCAGCATAATTAAATGACTCGTGGTAACTAGAAGTAGAATGCATATATATAAAATAATTACATAATTCGATTTGAATGAACTGTGTTGACAAGGTCATTAAAAACAGAAATTTTAACAAAGTACGTGTACTTTTAAAACACTTTTCCTACTTTTAATACATTTTTTTATTGAATTAGTACATAAGACATAGTAGTCTACTCTATGATGCAAAGATCTATTTGTGGAAAAGAAAGATTTTTCGTGTAAATTCATGTATATTTAAGTAAAATGGGTTTTTGTTCCAACCTACACTCCCATCACTTTTTTTATTGTCAAGATATGTTCAATGGTTGCCACTTAATTCTCTTTATTGGAACATATAACCTGTGATAACACT